CTCTTCGCAAAGCAGGACTAGATCTCACCACCAGATCACAGGACCCGAAATCAAGGGTCAGACACTTAACCTAACTTAACCTTAACCTGCCTTATTTCTATTCCTCTAGCATCTGTTACTACCTAATATCATACCACAAACATTATTTTATTGATTCTAACACATGTATTCTTCACTTTTTAATTTTGCTGAAACTAGCATGCATCTCGCAATCCATATACAGCCTTTCTTCCTCTTTGACAAACAGAAACACATCACTGTGTAAAGTTTAAGGCATATAGCATGATGGTCTGATTTACATAGACCATTTAATGATTAACATAACAGGTTCAATTAACATCCATCTCCTTGTATAGATACAGAGAAAAAGGGGAAAAAATTCTCCTTGTGATGAGAACTATTAGGATTTAGCCTCTTAACTTTCATATATATTGTATGGCATGATGACCTCATGCATCATGTTATACATTACATATCTAGTACCAATTTATCTCATAACTATGTGTATGTTTTGACTCTCTTCCTCCATTTCCTCCTCCCCCTTCATACATACCATTTTATAACTACAGTCAGCCAGGTGGCAGTCTTGTTACCATGTGAAAAACAATCAGTAGTTAACTTTTTTTTTTTAAGATTTTATTTATTTATTTGACAGATAGAGATCACAAGTAGGCAGAGAGGCAGGCAGAGAGAGGAGGAAGCAGGCTCCCTGCCGAGCAGAGAGCCCGATGCGGGGCTCCATCCCAGAACCCTGGGATCATGACCTGAGCCGAAGGCAGAGGCTTTAACCCACTGAACCACCCAGGCACCCCAGTAGTTAACTTTTGAAAAGATTATAAAAGCATCAGCACCAAAATGCTTCAGATTAGATGAAACAGGACCTTTATCCATTTGCTGGTTATCTCCCAGCTGTAGTCAGCAAAATAAGGTCAGTAATTTATTTATTTAAAATGCATTTTAAAATCTCTGTAGTCTCTGCACATAGAACAGTGACTGGCACATAACAGATAGTTAATCTGTCACATTTTAACATCTCTGAAATAGGAATGGGTCCAACAGAATGGATCCTACACAGCTGGTTCTAATGTTTTTTCCTTAGTGGTAAATACAGTCATGGCAAGTCATTACAAGCAATGGCATCTAGGATTTGAAGAAACTCCGTAACAAAAAAATTAAAAAATTGGACAGTACAAAAAAAAATGGACAGTGGTGTGACTGAAATGACCCATTTCAAAAGAGAACTCCAAAGGTTGGGAAATCCAAGAAACAGAAAAATAAGCGTATCATTGAGTTATGAAACTAAACATCCAAATAAATAAAAACAAAAAGAGCTAAACACAATTACCTCCTGGAAAAAGCAGAATGTCACACGGCTTTCACTATAAGCCAGGCTACAATTATTTTTTTTTTATCAAATGCACTTAATTTTTATGAACTATTTTTCATATATTAATAAGGTGGGGAAGTAAAGATGCACACATACAAAATCATGGAGAATGAGACAGGGACATTCACACAGATACAGACAGAAAGACATTCATGGGCAGAGTCAAAGTCGAGTCAAGCATCTCCAGAAATTTCAACGGACAATAGAGGATGGAGACCATGACTTCTGGGAACAAATTTAGCAAATATCTAAATCATGACATCAACACTAGTTTCGTACTTATTACAATTATGCCAATTTGCTCATCGGAAAGTCAAGGTAGGCTCAGCAAAGCCTTGCAAGTTTATCCTTAGGCCCCGGACCGCTTTAGGTGTAATAATTACAAACTCAACCTCTCCACACTTCACTTTCACCGGCCCTGGCTTGTCATTAATGACAATGACAGACGCGGAGGCTGAGTTCTTTCTTACCACAAAGAACTGACTACATTAAAGAGGTGCAAAAACTCGGGGAGGAGACTGCTGCTGGGGGGTGGGCAGTCCGCGGATCAGAGAACGGTGGCCATGACATGCAAAAACCGAGCTTCCTTCGTCGGGTCCACAAAAGCACCCAAAGGGACCCGCGCCTGATTTCGTAGAAAGAAAAGACACTGTTCCCCAAAGAAAGCTAAAGAGCTTAAAAGCCCAACTTGCCCTGGGAGGGCAGAGGCGCGCAGTTCAGACCCCGCCCAAGACAGGCGTAGAACGATTGCAAAATGTCACAGGGCCCAGAGTGAGCGCGCCAAAGCGGGACCCACCCCCGGGAGACCGGGACGTCGGAGGCAGGTCCCTCCCCTTCCTCTCTCCGCCCGCGCCGAGCTCATTCATTCTTGAGGCGGGCAGCCCATCTTCCCCGGCCGGCTATCCCGGCCCCGCAAACCCTCCAGCGGCTTTGTCTCCGGCCCGGCCGGAAACCGGAGCGCGCACTGGAGCGCGCGCCGAGACGCCGCCACCCCGCACCTGGGGCCCGCCGGGCAGCCCCGCCGGAGAACCCTTCTAGATCTCGGGCGCAAGGCCCCAAACCGGCCGCTTCTCCTTGGCGGCCTCAGGTGCGCGCTTCGCCGGGTCCTGCTCGGTAGCCGGGAGAAGAAAATGTGCATCCTGGTCGCGCCGTCGCTACCATTCGAGGCCCCTTTGAGACCCCTGTCCCCGCTAAGAAACACTCGATTCTCCTTCCGAAGGGCGTAGGCACCAGGCCAGGCTCTCCCGCCCCCGAGCGGCGCCCCCCGCCCCTTTTGTGAGCCAACGCGGCCGCCAGGCGGGCACTCACTTGAGGACCAGCTGGTCGTGCTCGGCTTTGAACTTGCCCAGCTCGATCTGCAGCTTGGCGCGCTCGCGGGCCGTGTCGTCGAGTGCGCGTCGCGCGTCGGCCAGCTCGGTCTCGTACAGAGCCTTGAGGCCGGTGAGCTCGCGGCCGCGCACCTCCTCCCGCTCCGTCACCTGCAGCTGCAGCGCGCTGTTCTCCGTCTCCAGGCTGCGCACCTTGTCGATGTACACGGCCAGCCGGTCGTTGAGCTCGCGCAGCTCCTCCTTCTCCTGCAGCCGCGACAGCCGCGTGGGGCTCAGCGGCGTAGCGGGGGCGCTGGCGCGGCTGCCCGACCGCGGCGGCACGGGGGTCGCGGTCGCCATGGCGGGCGGCGGGGCGACTGGCGGGCGGAGCAGAGCGGAGAGGGCTGCAGAGGGCGAAGCGGGGACCGAAGTCACAAGCCGACGACCCGCGCCCGCGGAGAAGGCGGCGTGGGAAGGGAGAAGCACCTGGGTTGGCGGGAGCCGGGTTACAGCACAAAGGGCAAAGGGAGAAGACTGCCAATCAATCGTAAAATGCCCTTTGTAAGAAAATACGCGCACGCACTCACACACACACTCGGGAAGATTCGGGGCGAGGGTGACCAGAAGGCCGAGCAGGGTCCGCGCGCCGCCGCCGCCGCCGCCGCCGAGTCTCCCGCCCGCCGCACTTTGTTTCCTCTCAGGCGGCGCGGAGCGGCGGGGTTGGGGGGGGCGAAGGGGAGGGAGGGAGGAGGGCGGCGGGGGGCGGAGGTGGCGCGGGCAGTGGCGCTGCGCTTTCCAACATGGCCGGCGCCTCCCGGCATTCCACGTGACCGTCACCGGCCAATAGAGAGCCCGCGGCACGGTCCAGGGCTCGGGGGCCGGGCCTGTAAATTCAAAATCGGGGCCTCGGGCAACCGTCGGCCGGCGCGCGGGGCTGGGCGTGGCTGGGGAAGGACTGAGGGAGGCGGAGTGGGGCGCCTGGGACTGCTCGCCTGGCGGTCCAGGGCCCAGCGTTGGCCGGGCCTTCCCGCCACCCCGCGAGGACCCCCGGAGGGGCCGGGCCTGCGGGTGGCGGGAAGAAGCCCGGAGGTTTTCCGGGGCGGGTCCGCGCCCCCGCCCCCACCCAGCGGTTCAGGGAAATTCAAACGTAAACGGCCATAACAGCCGCGCGCAAAGCTCCTAGAGGCCAGGACGACCGCGGACGCTGTAATTTTATACCCGCCGGGCGGAGAGGGCTCGGAAACCGACCCGAAGGCCCGGCCGCTGTGGAGTTACGTAATGGGCTCGGGTGTCCGAGGTTCAAAACCCGCTGCGTGCCGGTGCCAAATGCAAGCCTTTATTTTTCTCTCGGAGGGAAAACGGTGTATGCCAACACCTCCATCGCTGTCAAACTGACGTATACCTGCGTGTCTTGAAGCGACCGAGCCCGCAGAAAAGCCAGAAACCCTGACTTGGGAGTCGCAAGTGACATTAACGTGTGAAGGAACCCGTACAAGCTGCTAATTGTTTTGCTTCACTAAAAACCAATGCATCAAAATCTAAACTTGTGTAAATTTAAGTAGAAATGACTTCTTAAGAAAAAAAAAAAAAAAAACGATCCCTCCAATGTAACTGACAACGAATGCTAGTACAATGTCCGTTATCGCTTTGAAAAGTTTTCACTCTCAGGCTGACGTTTGCTGGAATTTACTGTGCCCTGCACCGGGCTTTTCGTGGGTTATGCCTACACGCGGCCGCTTTGAGGTGGGGGAACTGTATCTTTTCCCTTTGAAAATTCACCCATTTAATAGACGAATTTCCTTAAGGCTGCCTGGGAGGGGCAGGACAGCATTTGAATCCAGACAGTTTCATTTTGACTCCAGAGCCTCGCCCTTAAACTATAACCTAGAAGGCCACCTCACAATCTAGTGGGAACCCATCTGTAGAGTAATGACAGGTTAGCTACCTTAATAATGGTAGTAATGAAGACCAGAATGTTCTTTAAATATTAATCAAGTCATGTACATAAGAATTAGTGAAGGGCACCAGGCTGCGTATCACCCTGGGGCGATATCTGGGCACCCGGAGTGAAGATGATCTCCTTATTAATGGTCCTCTTTTCTGCCCTGTTATCTAAAATACCACGCTGAGAGTTGAAGTTGGTGTTAGCTTAAAAAGAAATATTCAGACAATTTTAATAACTTAAGAAAGGTCTTGAAAAGCCAAATTACTGGTCAAGGAATGAGACCTAAGGAAGGTGAGTGCTGATCCAAGGTAATGGAATCCAGCCTTTCTGCTACAGAAAGAGTTTGGTTTTCACACCATACTCCCCTCTGCCTCAGCCTTTTAAAAAATATTTTGAATTTTTAAGTATTTTCTTTCCACTTTTGAAGTGTTCGAACTGGATGTGAAGTGATTTCAGGCATGATCTGTGTTACTCTCACGCCCATGAAGCTTTCTCTTGATAGAATCCCTCAATTTCAGATTATGTGGAGGAGACTCAGGTTATGTGCTCTTATCTGAAATGACAAAGACACTAGAGTCAAACAGTTGAAGATTTGCTACTGTTAGCTGTGTGACTAATGGAAGTTATTCCTTGGTTTCCTCAGAGGAAAATGCAGAGGATTCCTACCTTGCAGGGGGGTTTCTAAAGATTAAATTTTAAACATATAATATGGGATGAGTAGTAATTCTTTTTTTTTTTTTTTTTACATTTTATTTATTTGACAGAGAGAGTACCAGTGGTGAGCCAAGGGAGAGGGAGAAGCAGAGTCCCTGCTGAGCAGGGAACCAGGTGCAAGGCTCCATCCCAGGACTCCGAGATCATGACCTAAGCCCAAAGCAGATGTTTCACTGACTGAGCCACCCAGACACCTCTAGTAATTCTTCCTAGTAGTAATTCTGTCTCCAATCAAAAGCAATTTTAAAAAATGGGGGGAAAAATAGAAAATCTTTTAGCCATATAATTGGGCAATCATGCAAATATTTGATCAGTTTCTTGACTAAACATACACTTCCCTTATTCCCTTGGCTATTCCCATGCCTAGCCCTGTACCCGAAGTATTTTCCCTCTATTCTTTCATAATAAGTTTGTCCAGCCCTCTTCATTGAAATAAGCCCGATAGGGGCCCCTGGGTGGCTCAGTCCTTAAATATCTGCCTTCGGCTCAGGTCATGATACCAGGGTCCTGGGTCCCTGCTCAGCAGGAAGCCTGCTTCTCCCTCTCCCACTCTCCCTGCTTGTGTTCCCTCTCTCACTGTCTCTCTGTCAAATACATAACTAAATCTTAAAAAAAAAAAAAAAGATTTAAATAATTAAGTCCTGTAATCCCATCACTGCCAACATTTCCCCCAATTAATTAGAAGAGAGGTAACAAATAGTATGTAAGTTTGGTGACAGTGCTTCTTCATTTATAAGGGCAATCGTGATTTCAAATGTGCTGCCATATTTTTCCTTTAAACCTTCCCTTTCTTGTCAGGGCACATGTTCTGATTATTGGTTGGGCTGTGTGTGTGTGTGTGTGTGTGTGTGTGTGTGTGTGTATCCACCAAGACTCAACTTGCCGGGACATTGTTTCCCTCTTCAGTACTCTTCCCACAGCACAAAGCTACCTCATGACCTAGAGACAACTTATTGGACATTTGCCCTACTTTCTGTATATCGTTTGGATCTGAGACAGCACAATACAAGATACCTATCATACCTGGCAGAGGGGCCCAGACTAGGATGGGGATAGGGAGGCAGGAAGAAAGGAAGGAGATATGGAAATCTTATAGTAACCCAATTTGTGCAGGGAGAGAGGAGTGACAGCTGACCGAGATCTGAGCATACAGTACAAACAAATGGGCTAGCTAGGGCTGATGTACAAAACAAAAAATATTGCTAAGTGGTATCTCCTCAATATATGATTGCTAAATAAATGCAAGAAGAAATAAATTAATACATGTTCTTCTACTAAGGCCACATTGTTTCTGTTTAATACACTTTGCAAAGTTAATACTGTTTCCGGTTATCATGAAAGCATAACAATAAATCATGTTTCAGAAGGTTGAAATATCCAGCATCCTTTCAAACTGTAATTTTTATTTTTGTGTTTTAAAAAGAGCAAAAGAGTTTTAAAGGTGTCTTTATCATCTTCAAAAGCATCGTTCTCTTAGCAAAGCTGCATGAAATTTATATACTGCTCCAAGTTGTTTTCCAAACTATTAAGATCCGGATATTTGGTAAAAGTAGAATTGGCAGAGTTATTTTAACCCAGTGATTCTGTCTTAGTGATAAGTTAGGATTTAGTTAAAAGGAGAAACCAATTTGCATTCTTGCATTTCAGTTTTATTTCATGCCAAAATATGGTCATAATACTACTTATAAAAGTCATCTTTAAAGCATTTCTTAAACCAGTATTTATGCATCCGGTTTTCAACATTTCTTCTTCTTCTTCCTTTTTTCATCCTACAAAAGTATGACCCTTCCTCCTGTATTCTACCTCTTTAGAGTGGTAAAAATAAGGAAGTCTAGAGTCAATGTGTAAGACTTATTTATACATAATTCAGCTGTTTACTCTGATTGGAACTGACCCTGCTCAAAAGTTAAGGGCTTTTCTTTCTCACGAAGTCTTTAGTCTTTGATGGATGGTTTTATCCCTACTCAGTAACACTTAAATGTATTCATTTAACTTCAAACTACAGAGGTGAGACTTTTCTCATCTAAAATCTTTGTTTCCTGACCCTACATCTGAATTCAAGACAGCAGATGAAAAAGGAAAATAATGATATTTTCATAGTTGATGTACTAGAATAAAACAATGAATTTTCAACCAGATGTCCTTGTGTTCTTCATTACCACAATTTTGGGGTACCATTCTTCTCAGGATAGCATTGTAAAACCAGGACTAAAGACAATAACACCACTCTCAGTTTTAAAGTTTAATAATTTTGATATAGGTAGAGGAAAAGATTTAAAAAGAAAGGTAGTCTGGCTGAACGAGTCCCCTCCATCCCATCTTCCCATCCCTACTACCTCTGCTCCAATAAAAGCCTCCTGACTGGGGAAGGAAGGCGATTTGTGGGAGTCACCATCTCTTGTCCCACCCCTGAGCTGAGTTGAGGGTAGGAGTTGAAGATCCAAGAATACAGATGGTTTTTGCCTCATAGTAACATTCCTTATTTTCTTCCATCTCTCTGCAGCAGAGCAGAATCCAAGACCAGCCTTCTCTAGAACCATGGTATTTAGCAGTCTAGGGGGAAAAAAAAATGCAACAAGGGGTAGGAGAAGAAATAAGAGGAATGAATGTAGGCAGAAGAGGCTAACCATCTGTGATGGTTAATTTTGTGTGTTGAACAGACCTGGGTGACAGTGCCCAGGTATGTGGTCACACATTATTTGGGTGTTTGTGTGAGCTTGTCATGCATGAAATTAATATTTAGATCAGTGGGCTTTGAGTAAAGCAGATTGCCCTCCGTAATGTGGGTGGGCCTCATCCAATCCATTGAAAGCCTGAAAGGAACAAAAGACTGACCTCCCCCAAGCAAGATGAAATTCTAACAGAAGACAGCCTTCAGCCTTGAGCCTCAACAGTGGCTTTTCCTCCTCTCCAACCTGTTGACCTACCCTGCAGATCTCGGACTTTCTCACCTCCCTAGTCATATGAGCCAATTCCTTAGAATAAATTTGTCTATATGTACATATCCTATTGAATCTGTTTCTTTCGAGAATCCTAAGACACCTTCCCTATGTCCCACTAGAAGGATGTAGAGGAGGTTTAAAAAAAGAAAAAAAAAAAAGCCAACAGATTGAAATGAGTCAGTGGGAGAGGGAAGCCGCAGACCAACCTGGGCAAACAGGCCACCCGAGGTGTGGTGGAATGGTACACAATTCAGCAGAAGCACAAGGGGCAAAAGTGACAGAGGCCAATGTGCTCCAGAATCATAAGAAGTCACATCTAGAATAGGCCAGTACAGAGTAGAAACAGCAAAACCAAAAAGCCGGCGACTCTCCCTACAGCTGTTAAGAATCTCCCTAGGTAGGGGTGCCTGGGTGACTCAGTTAAGCAGCTGCCTTCAGCTCAAGTCACAATCCCAGGATCCTGGAATGGAGTTCTCAGTTGGACTTCTTGCTCAACAAGGAGCCTGATTCTCCCCCTCCCCCTGCCTGCCGCTCCCCCTGCTTCTCCTCTCTCTCTGTGTCAAATAAATACAATATTTTTAAAAGGGGGGGGATCAGACACTTTAAAAATCCCTGAATTTAGACTCAATCTCAGGAAGGACTGGAAGGATGAAAATGAAAAATGTGAGGGGTATTAAACTTGAATGTGATTGAAGTATAAATCTAAACTTGTCCTGGCCACTAGGAGATTGCAATCCCCAAAACCGGATGGCCCCCTACATCTCTTACGTGGCTGTCCTCCACCAGTAACTTTTTTTCCAATACAAGCTCTTCCCCAGAAGGGGGAAAAGCTGGCTTCTGGGCCTGGCAAGCCTAAGTTCTCCTAGTAGCTTGCAATATAACAAATCTCAGGAAAACTGATTTGCTTGATTGTTCTGATCGTCAGCCCTGAACCAATTACTATATCCTTTGATCAGCCATGCCCAGGCCAAAATCCACCACTTTGATAGGCAGCGTGTGGGGAGTCTCAGAGGTCAAGGCTATCATCACCAAACCACATGGGAGGGGTTCCATAAAGAATGAGGAATGTGTGCCAAAAGTGATAAAGGAATGCTAGACAAACAAAAACAGTATGTGTCTACCTCATGAAAGGAGAGAGAGAGAGAATTAACCCAAGCAGTTCCTTTCTTGCCCAAAATTCTCCAGAGATTTGCTTATTTTTGAAAGCCTGGTGGCTCATTTGGTTGAAGAGCCTACCCTTGGTTTCAGCTCAGGGTATGAGATGGAACCACGCATCCCGCTCCGCACTCAGCATGGAGTCCGTTTGTCCCTCTGCTCCTCCCCCCAGCTCTAAAGTAAAATCTTTTTAAAAAATAAAAAACTTAAAACGTTAAAATACAGGAGTGCCTGGCTGGCTCAGTCAGTAGGGCATGCGACTCTTGATCTTGAGGTTATGCTTTCAAGCCCCACATTTGGCACAGAGCTTACTTACATGCATACTTGCATACATAAAGTTAAAAATACAACCTCTAAAAGGTTTAGGATACCTCAAAGTCATATTAGTCTAGTTATTAATCCATGCATTTATTCACCAAACATTTGTGGAGGATTTCATTACATGCAGAGCACAGGAGACTAATGCACACGGTCCCTGCTCTCAGGAGCCCAGCTGTGGACAGGCAAACATAAACAAACTGTGCCTCCCAGTGCCAGGTACTAACAAGGAGGCGTGAACAAAAGGATGCAGGTGCATCAAGAACCAGAGAGGTTTGTGTGCTGGGGAGGAAGTCACCTCTTGGAAACAGATGATCTCTGAGCTGTGCTTGGAAGAATTTCAGCCTCCAGGGACTGGAAGATGAATCCAGTACTCTGTGCAGACCTGTAAATGGCAAACCACAGGCCTCAGGGAGAATTCAAG